CTCACACACGACATAGACCGAGTAACTAAACAAATTAATGAGATACTTATGAGCAAAATGGCATACACACTTCAAAAGCTAAAAATGTGAAATTACACACAGGGAAACAGAACGGGAAAGCTCTAGCATCCTTGCTTCGACAAAGACAAGCACAATCAAAGATCCTTTACCTTTTTAATCATGCCAGGGGGAAAATATATAACCCACAGGAGATCCTAGTAGAAATGTCCAAATTTTACGACTCCCTCTATAACCTAAAAAGCGATCCAAACACACATCAACCTACCTAAAGTGAGATCCAACATTTTCTCTCACGCCTAAATCTAAACACTCAATCCCACACGCAAAAAGAACTGCTTACGAGCCCAATAACACTGCATGAATTGACACAAGTGATACATGCCCTACCCCAAGGGAAATCGCCAGGCCCAGATGGCCTCACCAATAGCTACTATAAAACATTTCTGGCTAATACAGGACCACAATTGGTTGATACACTCAATTACATACTTACCACAGGCACTATGCCGCAAGAAATGCTGCTGGCACATATCGCTACCCTGCCGAAACCAGGTAAACCCCCCACAAAACCCTAAAACCTATGTCCCATTTCCTTACTGAACACGGACATGAACATTTTAGCCAAAATATACGCCAAACGAGTAGTGGATATAGTCCCAACATTGGTACACAATGACCAAGTGGGATTTGTGCAATGAAGGCAGGGAGCAGACGAAACACGGAAATTATACAGCCTACTCTATGGCCAACGATGTCCCGGAGACCTCAGGGTCATTAGACGCGGAGAAAGCATTTGACAGATTGCACTGAGGTTTCCTTAGAGAGGTACTACTCAAATTCAACTTCCCCCCGCAGGTTCTGTCCCTGATATTGGTTCTTTACTCCAAACCATCGGTCAGGGTGACAAACAGCGAATTTGTATCCCCACCCTTAAACATCTTGAATGGTACACATCAGGGATGCCCACTATCCCTGATCCTTTATATACTGGCACTAGAGCCACTGGCGCAAGCAATGCAGGAAGGCAGCATAGACGGGGGGGTGCGCGGGAGGCAGGGAATATAAAGTCACCTCGTTTGTAGACGATGTGAAGCTATCCCTCACCAATCTGCAAATCTCCATTCCAGCTTTTCAATCCATATTGAAACAATATAGCATGTTCTTATTATAAGTTAAATGTGACAAAGACCCAGGCAATGTGCATCCATGTGCCTCAACCCCTCGCTCGACTACTACAGCAGTCCAACGCCTACGAATGGAGGCAAGACTATCTCACTTTTCTAGTCATCAAATTTACGATACATGCACATAGATTACACAAGACCAACTACATTGTCACTCTAAATAACATAAAAAAAATTGCTGCTAAGCTGGAAAAATAAATATGTATCGTGGATAGGCAGAATTGACGCACTCAAAATGATGATACTCCCCAAACTCCAATATCTCTTCCGCACCCTGCCGATACGGCTGCCTGCAAAATTTGTTCTTGAAGCACAAAAAATACTTAACACTTTCATATGGGCAAAAATAAAAATGAGAATAGCTTCCCTATACTATAAAGTGTCTATAATCGGACCTGTGATCTTGGCATTCCTCCAACATAAATCTCCGCCCTCATGGGTGCACTTGGAGGTGGCCTATACAGAAGGTCATGATATAACATCGTTGGCGGGGCTACCAACACGGCATAGGAAGACATTTCGGACTATGCTGCAGACCACATCTCTAACTGGGACAGATATAATAAAATCCACAATCTCCACGAACGCCTCTTCCCAACAATGCTACTTCACTCGTTCACAGCATTGATTCCACAACTAAACATAGGCCAATGGTCTAGTCTGGGCCTAACACATCTACACCAAATTCTAGTTCAACATGACCCTGTCCCATTTAAAACATTACAAGCCTATACGCACAAACCTACCTCAGCTGAATTTGCATATATGCAAATAAGCTCCTGGATACGAACATACCAAGTGGGGGTCAGGGGTCAGTACTAGGACAGCTCTGTGGGGGCGTTAAAAGCGCACCAAAAATAATATCAAAACTGTATGGTAATTATTATCGACAGACAGAAGCATATAACTTGAACTTTGTAAAACTGTGGGAGAAAGATATCGGCAAACAACTATCAGAAGAGATATGGTTAAAAACCTTCACTGCCAACAAGACACTGACACTATGTTCCTCCCATATAGAGTTGTTGCGGAAAATTCTTTACCGGTGGCACCTAGTGCCCTCCCAAATGAAACACATAGACCCACAACAATCAGACGCTTGTTGGAGACGTGTGCATACAAATGATTGATACAACAAAAACATACAAATGCATGGCTAGGCGATTAACGACACCCAAAACTTTTTGGGAGGATGCATGGATCATATGGGACAATAGAAAAGTTTGAACAGGAGAGAGAATAACGCCTGTCGGGCTGAACGTAAGTGTGGCGCTGTCCCAGGGTGGGCCATGGGATCTAAGGGCACACCTTAGCTGAGCATAGTCTAGATCGTAAATGTCAATGACCTGGTAGACAACCACATGGACATCCTTTTAGATGCAGGACCAACAACAAACTCAGGACGACCCCAACATCCCCCCTTCCACATCCTTCTACCCTCCTCCCCCAGTTAAAAGTTGCTAGATTTCATAAAGTTGAAAGCTAGAAATATGTACACAGCTATCCTAAACCAGTTGGCAAAGAAAGCCGGAGGGGAGATTGGATGCACATTATGGAATGAAGAGCTAAACATCCAATGTGAAACTGTGTGAATTCACTTCATGTTAAGTTCTCTACATATACTATGTAACCTAAAAGAAAAATGTTATGCATGTGACTCTTGACACTGGCACCTGTATGTTTTCTTTGTACGGTGTACTTTGGAAAACTGCAAATAATAATAAAAAAATAAATAAAAAAAAGATGCCAAACCCAATGTTGCCTTATATTATAGAAGTGGACGCCTCTCATGAAGCAGTAGGAGCCGTTTTATCTCAACAAGAGAATTCACAACATCCCCTTCATCCAGTGACTTATTTTTCCCATACCTTGACTTTTCCTGAACGCAAATATCCCATTGGGGAAAAAGAATTATTGGGAATCAAGGCAGCATTTGAAAATTGGCATCACTTGTTAGAGGGACAGGAAACCCCTATAATAGTCTATACAGATCACAAGAATCTTGAATACTTAAACAACAACAAAACATTATCCTCCAGACAAGTCAGATGGAGTCTTTTTTTTAACCGTTTTAATTTTCATATCAATTATAGACCAGGGTCCAAGAATAAGAAAGTTGATTCATTGTCAAGAATTCCACATTCTATTCCTCATGAAGAAAAAAACACTACTATCCTAAAGCCAGCATCTTTCATTGGATTTTCATATGCCTTATTAGATAGGATTACAAAAACTCCTTCTTCTAAATTGGATTTACCAAATGAACCTGCTTTACAGAAAATAAATGGTCTTTACTACATGGGTGATAAAATATATATTCCCCCATCATTAAGGAAAGAAGTTTTAAGAATGATTCACGTTTTCATTATGGTACATTACAGTATCTGATCAGATGGAAGAGCTATTCTAATGAAGATGATACCTGGGAGAAATCAACCGATGTTCATGTCCCTAGAAAGGTCTCAATATTTCACAACCTTTATCCTCATACACCCCATTGACAGTACCCGGAGGGTGCTACTTTTAGAGGGGTTTCTGTCATAACTTACCGTGACTACACTCCCCTGAGGTTACTCCCCACGTTCGGAAGTAAGCTCCTCCCATTCAGATGATGCTGCACTCAGTAATGCTCATACAAAACCAAGAAGGTTTCCATACCAGAATTTTAAGACATACAGCATTACCGACCCAAAAGCACAAGAAACAGCTTCAATAAGTTTAAAATCATATCAATAAGTGTCATAACTTACCGTGACTCCACTCCCCCGAGGTTACTTCCGCGTTCAGAAGTAAGCTCCTCCCATTCAGATGACGCTCCACTCACCTGCCTCATAGGGAAGCTGCGCCAAACTCAAAATTGCTGAGTAATTTTGTCCTGACCTCAGACTCCACGCTGAGCTACCTACCTCGTTCTCCTCACTGAGTTTTCTCTAGTTTGTTAGAAGACAAATTCCACGCTGTCATCATCTTCTAATACACTGGAACGGATTCCTGAATACACGAACTCTCAAACTAACAGGATTGTTCTACTAAAATACCTGGATATACTAATCCCTTCAATTTCTACTTCATCTTCAGGCAATTCAAGAGAAACCATAAGTATCACTAAATATGCCCTACCCTATTAATTCTAATTATTGCTGCAACTCTGCATATAAGGATAATCAATTTCTATGTGCCACTTATCAAATCTAATTACTGCTGCAACTCTGCATATAAGGATAATCAATTTCTATCTGCCACTCATCAATTCTAATTATTGCTGCAAATCTGCAAATAAGGATACTCAATTTCTATGTGCCCCTTATTAATTCTAATTATTGCTGCAACTCTGCATATAAGGATACTCAATTTCTATGTGCTACTTATTAATTCTAATTATTGCTACATCTCTGCATATAAGGATAATCAATTTCAATGTGCCACTTATCAATTCTAATTATTGCTACAACTCTGCATGTAAGGCTAAATCAAATTCTATGTGCCAATTACCATCTACTAATCAAGTTATCAAGAACTTCTCCTACTACTTACAAAATTGTCACATTTATACAATCTAGTCAACAATTACTCCTATGCTGCATTCTAATTCCTAATTCATATAACTGAGGATATTGTTATTTTTCTTTTTTATTGCAACCAGAGAATTGGGCAAAATTATTTTTTTTCTTCTTCATACCAATGCTGCAATTATGCGATAATTTGTCTTCAACTTAAATTCACTAAAGAGAAAAATAAAATCTCTCAAAAAATCCTAAGTAACTTCTTTTTTGCTTTTCTTAAAGGTATAGTACAACCTATAAATTCTGCCGTTGTGATCCTCCATTTTTGTATAACATTTCTAAAACATAACAATAAGCCACAGAGATTTGGGGTTTCTGTTCTGTGGAGCAATGAAACAAAACTGGAACATTTTAATCCTATGGATCAGTGGTATGTCTGGAGGAAGAAGAATTAAGCATATGCTGAAAAGAACACTCTTCCTACAGTTAAGCATGGTAGTAGCTTGGTGATGCTCTGGGGCTCCTTTGCATCCTCTGGCACTGGAAACCTGCATCATGTGGATAACAAGATGTATTTTATTACGTCATTGGACCTTCCAACAAGACAATAAACCCAAACACACCTCAAATTCCACCAAAGATTGGTTGCAGAAGAAGTTCTGGAAAATTCTACAGTGGCCCTCACAGACTTGAACCACATAGAAAAAGCTCTGTTGAGATTTAAAGAAAGCGGCTGTAGCACGCAAACTCAACCTGATTTCTAGCCAATTGAGCATGTTTTTTACTTGCTGAAGACAAAACTTAAGGAAGAAAGACCCACAAACAAACAAAACAAATAACTGAAGATAGCACCAAAGGCCTGGAAACCTATCGTTTCATGATGTCCATGCATTTTAGACTTTACCCGGTCATTGCCTGCAAAGCATTCTCGAGAAAGTATTAAAAAATTACATTTTATTTATGATTGTGTTAATTTGTCCAATTACATTTGAGCCCCTGAAATAAGGGGACTTTATTGGAAAATGGTTGCAATTCCTAAACGCTTCATATAATATTTTGTTTAAACCTGAAAGTCTGCACTTCCATTGCAACTTGGTTGTTTAATTTTAAATAACATTGTGGTGACATACAGAGACAAAATTATGAAAATTGTGTCAGTGTATAAATATTTCCAGATCTACCCATAGATATAAAATTCACTTTCTTTAGACTTGTACATGGTGAGACAATTTGGCTTGGCTAAATAATTTTTACCGTACATAGAAAATTTTTTGGGATGCCTGAATTTCAGCCATATGTTGGTTCGAATTGGAAGAAAATGGGGAGAGAATATGGGCCCAGCAGTGTACTGTAAACTATGCCATAATATAATATGATATGCTTATTTTGCAGTTCATTGAAAGGAGTTTGGTTTACAGAGCCATTGAGAAAATGTAATCAATTGAGGGCAAAAGAGAAGCAGGAGTTGAAAAAAATCTATATTTTTATATTATGTTGTGATGAGAGCAATCTCGCCACATTGCATTGGAGAAGCCTGGCTGCCCGCCTGCTGCCTTTGGACTATGGACCAGTCTTTATGTAAATGTGTTCACCCAGATAGCTATGCCATGGAGCCCATTCATGTAGTTAAAGACTTCGGCTCCATGGCAATTGAACTGTGTGAATAGGATTTGAGCGCTATTCGGTAATTTTGTGCCCTCAGATCCCAGCTATCTGGGGATATGTGAAATGTCTGTGTGTTATGTGTAAAAGGTGACTTTATGCATTTTAAAGTGTTTTATGTCTTTTTGCAACCATGTGCTCAATGGAGTCTGCCTCTATCCCTGGATAATTGGATTACTTTCCCCCATTGTCTCCAGGATAGAGGGCTCTGTAAAACCTGTTTGAGCCAGATATCCATGTGCCAGCCAGGGCCCAAAAGATACTTTTACTAACTTTTGAACCCCTGGTCGGATTCATGCCATTTTTTAATATGTTGTTCCCCTGAATGGATTGATTGTGAATATGTAATTTTATGTGAATGTGATGTATGGTTTTAAAGTTATGAAAGTTGGGTAGAAAGTATGTTTTAACTGTATGTGTAATTGAGTTTCCTCTCAGGATAAGGGGAGGGAATATGTGGGATGTAACTGATATGTGATTGGTTGTTTTATACCTCCCTGTGGGCGGTCCTGTATTTGAAAAGGCTGTAATAAAAACCAGGCTGGGTGTGCCAGCACCTCTTTTCACTGCTTGACCCTCAACACGGAGCTTTGTCTTGTTCTTGGGGGGATTTATTGTATGCTGTTCCAGTTCGACTGCTAGGAGTGTAAAGCTATTCGTATGGTTTTTCCTATTCGGCTGTTTACAGCATTCGTATGGTTTCCTGTTTGGCGGATTGGTGTTCTGCAGTAGCTGTGCCTGGAAGGGGAAGATCTACTAAACGGCGGTTTAACCCTTTTATGCCTGGGGGTGCCGTTACATATGTATTTATTAATTATATAATATATAAATATAGATTTTGTTACTGCACATACATTTTTCCCCTCATTTGCACACTTGGGTCCATAATTTAATATTTTTGGATATATACTTTTCAAATTATATAATATCTTTTGATAAACTTTTAATATATGATTTTTAAAAAACTAATTAAAAGATCAAAAATATATTATGTATAACAAAATGTATCACATATTATTAAAATACTAAAACATTTTTACAAATAATGAATAATTTCAAAAGGTTAAACACAAACAAATGTAGTAAGGCCGTTTGGCCTGTATTTGTGGGAGGGGCTTAAGTTAACTTACTCCCCTATATAAACTACACTTCTTACCTGACTCCTTACCAATCAAGGTCAGCGTCTGAATGCACTTCTGGTTCATCCAGTCGCCATTTTGGAATACTTCCATCTTCTCACGAGGTCTTCCACGCTGAAACTGTGTCCAGGAACCCAGCAGCAGGTTTCCATCCGACCAGCCTCTAAGCTTCTTTTCGTCGCCGCAGATTACATCCTAGGCACTCGCATACCGTAAGTTTACCTACCCGTTCCGCCTGGCAAGAGTCCCACGGCATCGGTAACTGGCTAGGTCCACACTTTACGGGCACGTTTCGGTTAAACCATCAAATCACTTTCCCGGCTTTTCTTTATCAATATGTATCTGCTTACAGTATGCATACTCGTTCCGGTTAAACAACTCGTAATTAGGATATAACACCGTACACACAAGAATTTACGTGTTCCATGGGTAGGCACATACAGCTACCCTCGTTCATACATAACTCATGTTGCCCGACGGGCATTAGCAGTCACCCGTACAGCCAGTTATCACTTTCGCACTGTCTAATCGTTAAATACAAGTAAATAACTTAGGGTCACATAACTGTTATATTTTAAATTCCCCATACCTCTGTGAGAAATGTATATCACATGCCGCCGTCACTCATCACATACTCTTATCGGCTGAAACATTATCCTCGCCGAAAAACTACATTCCCCATAATTCCTCCATATGACTCCCAATCACATCCCCCTTTTTATCTCATTACATCGCACGCCGGCAGGCGCAGTTACGGGCGCCAACTACATTTCCAATAGGGATTAGCTCCAGTCACGCCAGTCACGTGATTTCCAATTTTCCCATTACATAATCCTCATTTTAATTAGGTATCCATATCACTATGTTCATATTTGCCACTTTTGAGTTATTTGCCTCAATTGAGTTACTTTGATTATATTCCAATTATTATGTCACGTTACGTTTTCCTCCACATGTGATCTGATCACTGATCAAAATCACTTCCACACATTTGTTGCATTACGTTACTAAATACATTTCGGATGTCCAAATTTACATCGCATAAGGGTTTTTCTATATACACTGACCCCTACAGGTCATATAAATAATTCAAGTATCACTTATATTATTTATTACATACTAATCCTGACACTAAGGTCATTCTCTATTACATACGTCAGGAGAACAACTTCTTAAAACGCACCACAAACGGGCTACATGGCACGATTAGTCATTATTAGTCATTGTTTATTAGGTCATACAGGCATATTTCAACTGCACTATGAATGTTACATGGTATGCCCAACTTTTCAATTTTGATTATTGGGTTGCGAGCACTATGATTGTCTATGCGTATAAACTTAGATCATGATCAAATCACATTTCAGGAACATATGGCATACATACATCATCAGGGCTGTACAAACATTATTACAGGGCTGTACAAACAATGACCCTACAAATTACCAAATGATAAATTACGAACATATATTTAGGTATAAATAGCAATTAAAATTACCACATAACATAGTTACAGTTGAACTCTCGGATATCCTACAAACATCAACCCCACTGATCTCTCCAGGGCGAACATAAACATTAATAAGAATGATTCATCCATTGTATTTATTTTCATATGGTTTCCATCTATTTAGTTACAGGTATCTACTGCCACCTAAACGGATTGTCTAAAAAATTCTTTACTTATACTTTCAGGTACGTACACCTGCTCACAGTATATCCAAATATGATCCCCAAATAATAGATAAGTACTGGCAGATAGGGTCATAGGGGCCAATAGCTGTTATATCTCCTTCTCTGCATTATGCTTCGGATTAGTGGTCCCGCGAGGCCAACAAACCCGCCTCATACTCGGAGGCATACACCCCTCGAGCCACTCGTGAGCTAGTCGCCTCGCAAGTTTCATAGAGAGGGCCTCACCAGTCACTCCCTTTCCTTTTTTTTAGTAATCTCACCGAGAGGCCATCATCCTGCCACTATGATCGGTGGCCACAAAAATTCCATCGCGCCAACACATAGATAGAGCCTCTCAAGCCATTTGGCACTAGCAGGGCCTCACCAGTCACAAACTTAAGCATAATCATTTCGCCTTACGGCATAGCTAGCAAGCCAGTACTAAAACACCTGGTTCAAATAATAATTTTACCTTTTATTTTAGTTAAACATGTCTCATGCAAGTGGTGAGGAGCTATTGCTTCCTAGTACCCCAGCTAGGGACGAGACACCTTCTCACAGGGGAGATATGGCCAGTCCAGCGTCAATCAGATCCTGGACAATACCGCGCATTACAACAGAGTTAAAGAGACGTCAAATTCCCTACCCTGCTACAGCAAGGAAAGCGGAGTTATTTAAACTCCTAAACACGACTGTGACGGAACGCTGGCACTCCGACTGAGTACCTCCGCCAATCAATGCTCCTAGCGCTTGCCGAGGACTCCAAGCACTCCAACCGACACCATCAGCACTGCAGACCCCACTTCCAGCGATGCAACTGCGCTGGGGTCTCTGCTGTCTCCACCCACCCTGGACCCAAGGCCAGGATCCAGCTTCCAGTGGGTGAACCTCTCTTTCCCCAGAGAGCAGGAACAAGCTCTTAGCAGAACTTAGTGATCATATCCTGGGGAGTATAGTGATTATAGCAATCCCCAGAGTGTATTTCTCCAATCCCCCAAACATGAGCCAAGGCTTAATGCTGGAACAAGACTGATTTACTGGC